TGTGTTTCATGGACAAAAAAGGCGGAAGCTTTAGATAACATAAAATACGAAGACTTAAGGATTCAGATTCATTAATCTTCATGCTTGTTGATTGTGCTACTAATCCACAAGAAAAACCACTAACATAGCTCAACTCAATGGTAAGATGAAGACAAAAAGTTATTATGCTAGAACCAAGACAGAACCTTTTTCAAGCAGGTCTAACACATAAAATAGTGGTTCACCAGATCAGAACTACTGTGTTCCAGTTGCACATATTGAATAGTGTGAAATTCATAACACTTGTGAGGCCAGGGTATTCAATTTTAATAGTGTGCAACCATACCGAATCCAAAGTTGAGAATCCATTTGTGCAGCAAGCAACAACCAGTGGATATAAAGATGTAAAAGGTGAGAACAGCTCCTGATCAACTTCTTCAGAATTCCCATACACAGTTTCAAATTCATTGAGGCTAGCAAAAGCACGTTGTAACTGTCCCAACGATGAGTGTGCATATATCTTTGCAAGGTAAGTCTCTGGACTTGGGGCCCTTTTCTGACGCAGTGAACGTCGCAAGATTGACCATGCAGCATCTAGAAGAGTAGAGTTGTATGTTCTACCGGCAGCACCAAGTGCTGAGACAACTAAACCTTCCTCGGCTGAAAGCAGAACTGGTGGCCTAGCAATCTCACCACGAGCAATCCATCGAGCCAAAAACTCCAAGGAGAAATATGCCAATTTGCTATGATCTGCTTGCAAAGCAACATCTGCAATATAGTTACACAAATTCCAGCTTGGGCATAAGGCTTTGTTTTGGTCTGTTGTCTGAGAAACACCCAAACAGGGAAACCAAATCAAAACTTAAAAAAAGATGACAGAACAGAGTTAACTAATTGTGAAAGACGAGAATCACTACTCCCAAATGCAACTATACAGAGGGGCATCGCAGACAGTGGCCATAAATGACAAAGTGTTGGTAATCGTAGTTATTTGCAAAACTTGATCAGTACCTTGCATTTCTCTATGATGGATGCTAGAGTGTCCAGCTTTCCAGCATTTACACAGCTCCGTACACAATCCATAAAGACACTTGACGATATCATGTAACCTGATTTTATCGTCAAATCCATATATTTCAATGCGGAATCTATCTGGTTCATAAGAATTAGAAGGCCGATAACCAAATTGTATGATTCATCATCTGGTGTGGTGCCTGTCTGCAGCATCCTGAGGTCAATCAATAAACAATCATTCAAAAAGGTAAAATGCACATGCTATAGAAAATTTACAAGATTTAAATACCACATCAGCTGTCTCTAACCAGCCGTTTAAGATTAAAAGGTATCCTATACAAGTTTCTAATCAACTACATCACTGCCCAATTTAACCATCTAGATCCAAATTGTACCTAGCTTGTCAATATTATGAGGACCATGTTATACATCTTGCCTTGTAGGTACGCAGCTATGGGCCTCCGGCATTAACTTTGATGCTTAGGATCAAGATCTCCATCATGTCTGATTCTTTGCATGTGCACTCCTCAAGAATGAGAGGTCACAAGATTCAGGGACATAGACTAAAGAGAGGGAGGACAAGAAAGAAAAAGAAAAAGAATACAAGGTGCCTACAGTAAAGTCCCATCATTCCATGGTCTACAGTAAATTCAAATAATAATAACCGTAGGTACTAACAAAAAGTAAGGGGAAAATCATAGGGCTAGACTGGTTCAACCTAAGCCTCGTCTCAACATACCAAAAGCCAATCTGGTAGTCATCCAAATAGAATAATTTTCTAAAGAGATCCAACATCCAATGTAGTAGTCCAAAATAGAATAATCACATGAAACATTTAAAGTTAAATAACACTAATAGAAAGATTATCATAGATGAAACAGTGTTCACAAAATTAGCAGAGAGAACAAAGAACAAAAAGAGAGAGGAACGAAACAAGACAATAAGCACATCTGAACTTAGCCTTCATGAAACAATTTTCATATATGAAATCAGTTGTAACCTACATATTTTCAGCAAGAGGTACCACAACTACCCCACTCATTTCTACATCCTCTCTTTCTCTATGTGTGTGTGACTGTGAGCTTGAGACGTTTTACTGTCACAAAAGGTTTACTAGTGCCATCAACTTTAGCACTAAGTTTTAAGACCTGGCTATGATACTACGAACAGTACATTCTATTTTCTGATAGAACAAAATTAACTAATCAATCGAAATCAACACTGAACTGTTATCTAAAATCAATAATTAGTTATTCAATTTGCAGATCATACCATATGAGCCTAAAGACCCCCATCTCCCCACATGTTATAACATAAACATTATACATTTTGATATTGCATAGGTGGCCCATGCAAGAAGTGAAACGCCGGTCTACATATGGTTACAAGAGGTCCAAAAAATTCATTCGATTATATCATCAACGAATCAGTTAACGAGAATCAAATTTGCATTCAGAACTCTTCCAATAAATCGTTATTAATAGAGCCACAAATTAGAAGCTCAATGATCTCTTTAAAGTTTCACGCCCAATTCCTAAGCCCCCTTATTGCTGACACAAGCTTTCCCTTTTGGGTCATTTCTTCAAAAAACTTAGCTACATTTATTGAAAACAACAATCCACATAACAAACCACAAAAAATATGAAACTAAGCTACAAGAGAATAATGTTCCTTACCGATCGACCAACTTCTCCGCTGCCTCACTCTCCCGCGCCTGAAACATAGCCTTGAGCACCAAGTTATATGACGCGGTGTTGGGTGCGATCTGGTACTCCTGCATCTGGGCCACCAGATCCAAGAGCTCTCCCGCCGTCGCACCCATCATCAGATTAGCCCTAAGATAGTGATTGAAGAGGTGGACGTCGGGCTTGTTGGGCTTCCCGGAGGCGTCCAGCGAGCGGATCCAGAACTCGAACAGCTGCTTGACATCGGACCAGCGTTGCGACGTCATCCAATCAGCGAAGACATTCATGAGGCTGGAGACGTCCAAGGTCTGGGAGAAGGCCATCATCCGGGCGGTGGCGGAGGGCCCCATTGGGACGAGCGACTGGCCGCCGACAAGGGGCCCGACGCCGGGGGCGGGGTTGGGGCTCCGCCAGTTCTCCTGGTAGAAGGGGCTCCCGGTGGAGGGGCTGGGGGGCAGCGGGGAGGCGGATGCCGTGGGCGACGAAGGCGGTTCCTCGAGTTGCGGCTCCTGGGAGAGGAAAGGGAAGGCCGAGATGGAGCGGATAAACGGGGCGGGGGTGAGGGGCTTGGGGAGGAGGAATCGGGAGCGGAGGAGGATGGCCGCCATGGACGGGCGAGTTCGGAGGGAAAGAGGCGAAGACGGCTGGTTAGGGTTAGGGTTAGGGATTTAGGAAAGGGGTGCAGATTGAGGCTTACGGTTCAGGAATTTGAGCGTTCCGATCGCGGTGATGACAGGGACGATTAGGTAATTTTGGCAATTTCAGCAATAGATTGGTGATGCTTCGATTTAGACTGATGATAGAGGCTTTTCTTTTCCCAAAGACCAAAATAATCCATTTAGACTATATTGATTTGGAGCATAACATAACCTTAATTTTCGATTTACACTATATCGATTAGATTTTTCAGTCAGTCTCAATTCTTATCGACCTTTATCATTAATTTCATAATAAGTTTTGAGATATCGTAAAATAATTTATTTGAGAGTTTTTGGATGATTCTAAATAAAAATTATAATTTTCTTTAGATATCCTAAAATAGTTAATGATAAAGGTGGTTGAGAATGTTTTTAATTACTAATCATTTACGATGGTTTAATGATCATGAGGGAATCATCCAATCAGTATAGGTTTACCTTCTCTTGAAAAGAAAAAATCATATATATGAATATATTAACATTTCATATTGATTTATTATTTATTTATTTATATGGTAATATATTGTTACAAGTTGATGTCAATGGTAATGACTTTTTTAATTATTTATACTAAGATCATTTGCTATCATCTAAGTAAATATATAAATATCAATATATATGTCTGGGATTATTGAGAGATTACGAGATATTACATATCCTCTCTCATCTCTATTTTTATATCTGAATCATCATTCATAATGATCCTATGAAATATAGGAAGAAAAGAGAAATCGAGTTTAGCTTCCTTCTTTTTTAATGTAGATTCACAATGTATAAGGATCCCAAGACCCTTATGTTTTTTTTTTTATAAAAAAATAATTATTTTTAAGAATGAGTATAGATGACAACTTAATATTTTTTAACATAGCATGAAAAAAAAAGAAAGAAAGAAAAAAATGATAGGAGGATAGTCTTTGTTCTTTATTTGTTACTTCATTCTTGATTCTATTAGAACTTCTATATACATGTTTTATTTACTTTTTTCATGAAAAATTACTTTTCCATAATATATCCTAACCAATAATATAGCCAAATATGAATATAATATAATATAATAATTTATATACAAACATAATATATACATAAAATTAATTACTTAGGATTGAATGACCCGTCTTTTTATAAGAGTGTACCTAACCTTTTTGGTTGATTAGAAGCTGAATAAATATATAATATAATGATTAAATTAATTATATTACTATAATTTTGAAGTTAAATCTAAAATTTGATGTTTCTATTGAAACACACGATTGATCAGTACATTATTCCGTAGGTGATAGAACTTAGGTTTCAGGAAGTTTCTTATCTATAATTTAATATAATATATATTTTCTTTTTTTAGCATGAGATTCGATTTGGTACAACAAAGAAAGAATGAATATATATAAATATATATAAATAATATATATATATATATATATATATATATATAAGAAGGAAATTATTTTTAGGAAATAAAAATATGAAACAGCAAATTCGAAGGGCAGATATGTCTTTTTGAAAAGTTGAAAGGATAGATATGTAAAATTTGCAATCCTTTACACAAGTTCTGCCACGCACAACCGTCCTATCCCCACGCCAGGTTGTCTCGATTTGCCAAGTAACCTCTCTCTCTCTCTCTCTCGCGTGTGAAACGTCGCAGGCGCCCAATTCCATACGACTTGCAGTCGCGAATCAGGAATCTTCGCCCCTTGAATTGAGATCGTCGAGTCTCTGCTTCGGATTCGATCCTTCTTTGCATTGATCCGTCAACTGGTGAGTTCTTACTGATTCTTCATGATCGATTCCTTTCTCCGCGTATTTTTTTACTCGAGAAACGTTGTCTTTTGATCCTGAGAGTTCCCAGGATCTTGTATGATTTACGGATCGACTGAATGGATTCTTGGATTATCTGAACCCTCTGAGTATAGTTCTGTTTACATCTTCCTCAGGTTTTATTTCTTCCTTGTTTTTTTTTAATTATGTTGACAACCTAATTCGTGCTGAACTGAAACTTTGGTCCTATCTGTGAGAAGTATCGTCTTAATGATTTGGAAGATGGGAAAATAGTTATTTTTAATTTATTTTAGTTAATTATATTTTTTTTTTGCTAAGAGTAAATGATGAAGAAAAAATTCGCAAACTATCAATATCATCACCAGCTAAGCCAACTGATATATTTTAAAATTTATCGGATAAGGTTTTGAACCCTCCTATTAAACCTTTTGTACTAGAATTTTGTACATTACCATCATATCAATGATAAAATTTAAATATTCCAAATATATTGGATGAGGTTTTGATTTTATATATATATATATATATATATATATATATATATATATAAGTTTTTTATGAAGAGGTGTCAAACTATTAGTGATCTTTATTCAGTGTAAAGAACATGAAAAATGCTAAAATTTGTAATTCAGATGAGCGTCCATTGACATTAGTACTTTGTATTCCATCTCGGATTTTTTTTTGTACTGGAAGCAAGAAATACATAGTTAGATTATAAAAAAAATGCAGTTAGTTTCAGTCTGGTTTTATGGGCTTCTGCCTCAAGAAATTGTAACACAATGGTTTAATGCAATGGTGTTAAAACATTTTTATTGGCTTTTCCTGCTAAAATTTGTGTGCTACTTGTTACTTGATAGTGTTCAAGCTTCACCACGCTATTGATCTTGATATGCCTGAGCTGCAGTATTTTTCAAATAACTCAATTTTCTGATCCTTTTATATCTTTACCTATTCTAATTGGAGGACATGTTCACTTGAAATTTATTTGTGACACTCCAACTTTTAGTGGATGTACTTTCTATAACCAAATTCACATGCATACAAGCTTCACAATGACTATATCTTCTTTCAGTTTGCTAGAGGGTTAGGTGATGTTTACATAAGACCCCCATTATCACTCTCAATTTTACTTTTTACTCCTACCATGATTCGTTTGCATGTTTGTTATAAGAGGCATGATCTTAGTAGGTTATGTCTTGTCTTGTACAGCTATATTCTTGATTCAACCACACATTAGTTTCATTAGATACCGGTTGCTTAAGAGCTTTCTTAGTTTCCTTAGATACTTAACCTTTAGGATACATGTTTCCTTAGTTTAGTTTCACAAGTAAGCTAGTGGCCTAATATTCATGCCTAGCACCTGAAGAAAATTTTCATATGTTCCATTAATAATTGTACCACAAGATCTCTTATTAACACCATCTGATTGTTACCGTTTTTATGCTACAAATATACCATTTAAACTCTATCAGCTCTCATGCATTTTGTGCTGCACTATTGCTTGTTCAAATATTTACTAATCATTCTTTAAGTCCATTAACTAAATTCACTTAATTTTCTATAAAATTCCAGACATCTTTCATTGCTTTCCATTTAGTCTTAGGAAGATTTTTCTGTCATTTTAGGGATATTACATTCTTCATGAGATTAAACTGACCTAATTGTTATTCATATGCATCATTTGCACAAGTGAAAGCAAAATTTGATCACTCCATATTCATAAATTTATGCTGTGGTTTGAGGAATGAAGATTTAATAGTAGTTGTTATCCTCTGCTAGTCAACCATGTCTCACACAAGATATGAATATTTTCTTTGTTCTTTTTTCCTAGTGGGTTGAGAAACCAAGATTTCATGATAGTATGCTAGTCAACCGTGTTGCACAAAAGATATGCATATTTTCTTTGTTCTTTCTTCCTAGTTTCATTTTTCTTGTACAACTCGATGCTTCTTTTCTGTTCTTCATTGTGTGGTCCTGAGTTTTCATTGCTACATGGCTATTCTATTTAATAACCATTATTAATCTTTATTCACTTTATCTGGCCCTTGGCTTATTCATTATGATCGGTCCGTACTACCACAGAGTTTACTCAATTTCTCGTCATCAAAGCTGAAGCTGATCAACTTGTGATTTCTAAGAAAGCCTGTTTGTATTCTACTGGTCCTAGTCAATTATCGGTGGCTTGTAGTGTAGAAGGAACTTAAGTTTGATTTTCTCTGTCCTCCCTGGTGCCATATTGTCAAATCTTGTATGGTCGTTCTCCTTCCAGTTTGAATCTCTTCAATTACAGTTACAATGTGCTTGGTTCTCTACATTTACCAGATTGGCCTTAAAGCTTATCTGTGATACAGATTTTTTTTCTGTGCAGGCAAAACTTTCACTACACCATGTAACTGCACTCGGCGTGACAATGCTTCATCCTTGTTCCTGTTGAATCATCCACTGGAGGCACAGAATGACCAGAGATTGGTTACATGGTGAAGTTTTGAAGGCTGTCTTCCCTTTACTTGATGGCAAGGACCTAGCTTCATGCATGCTGGTATGCCATCAATGGAGAGATATTGCTAGGGATGAATACCTTTGGAAATGCATCTGTGCCAAGAGATGGCCTTCTATATGCAAAAGACCACCTCCAGCCATAAGCTATTACAAGCTTTTTGTAACCTTTTCCAGGTCCCAATTCAATCAGTCTCTTCCCCCCGCAAGACTATCCTTTGATGATTTGGAATTTTACATCGATGTCTGGTTGGAACAAACATTGGTATTCTCTGAAGCAGTCTCGGGTGCTGCGCTGACGACAGGGATAAAGAACCCACTTGTCGATGGTGCTGATTACAAAATGATAATGCAAGTGGAACCAAGGTTCGCTCTCTCTTTGGGGCAGAGAATCAGCGTGTCTGTTCTCCTGGCCCGCAAAGACACAAACGAGATGGCATGCATCATAAACCAATCAGTCTTTGAGCATGTGGATGCTAATGCTTTTCAAGCACTTGCCTACGACTATCTAAGATTTTCAGCTGGACATCCATTCATATCTGGGGTCAGGGCTTGTGTGTCCTTGCTATTTATGGCGAATAGCTACAACAATGTTGTAGATGTTTTTGGCATCAAGATAGATTTTTGTGATGCTGCAAACTCTGAGAATGAAGTCTTGTGGCTTCTAGACATGCTAGACTGGAAATAAATGTCTCAGATCTACGTCTTCTGTTGAGTGTAAATGGGTACAATCATCAAACTATGTTTCGGAGTGTCAGCGGAAATAATATACAGTATATGTGGCACATATTTCTTTTTATCTTAGTGCCTGTGTGTCTCATGTCCGCTTGCAACTTAGTTTCATCTCTTTGTTCTCTTTTTTATTTTGTGACCTTTAGTTCAGTTTTCTGATAATGATACTTTTGTCGCTCATCTTAAAAGTGCTTCACTTAATTGCGTCTTGATTCAGCTGTTAAATCCTTTACGTGACAAACAGTCGAGTCGATTCATTTATGAACTGTATGGCGCAGCGATTGGCCACCTGATTTTTGAGTTTTTGGTTTGCTGTGATGCAAATGTTTCTTTTCATTTGGGTTGATTAAGTAAAGCCTTTGCCTTTCATGCATATATTAGAAAGCAAAGGTGGAACTGTTTCTGGACTCACATCGTTTGGTCTGTCCTTTGCCAGCAGAAGAGACCCCATATGTATTCCGGTGGGCGCGAGAAATCAAAGGAAAAACTTTTATAACTGAACAAAAGATGTTTCTCACATTTTTTTGCACTTTAGAACAAAAGATGTTTCTCACATCAAAGGCTAAGACTATTACTTAGCCTTCACCGTGGTTCCGAAATCATCAATTTCGCCATCCAGAACTCATTTTAGAACTAAAATTGTTGATTTCGATTCGAGCGATTCGATACCAGATTGAACTATTAATTTTTTTAATTAAACATAATTTAAAATATAAAAATTCATAATTTTATTTCTAAATTTTGAAAAATAAATGTATAACTATAATGAGTGTAATGACTTAAAAAAAGTTAATAAAAAAAATAATATTTTTAATCAAACTAAATGACTATATCAAAATTTGAACTCATATTAATTGGTTTAAAGCTTACGATTTGACCACTATAACATAGACCTTATTTATGCTTTATATTTATTTTTAATCATATTTAATAAGTTTGAAATCATCAGATTGAAACTAGAATCGTTAGTTTGGAACCGAAATTGTCTGTTTCGCTTTTTAAAATCAGAAATTAAACCATCACCTGAGCTAATTTTGAATCCAATTTTAACCTTAGAAAAAAGATCAGCTTCAGCCAAAATTTCATTTTCAATTTAGCTTCAACTCAATTTCATCGCAATTTTAGTTTTTGGTTCAATTTTAGCCTCTTCTTATTATTTCTTTTAAGTATTTAGATGAATTAGGAAAGTGCTTCATGAGACCAATCAACTCAATATTTTAAAAAATCATCAGTCAAATTGTTTATCATTAAAATACATAGTTAAGAGAAAATCCAATATCTTGAATAGTACGTGAGAGACGATTTGTCTTCATAGTAGTACAATTAGTGCTATAGTAAATTTATATAATTTTAAGATTAGATCGATAAATCTGTATTAGAAATATGTTTAACCAAAAGTGTGATGAGTGGAGTAAATCAGTAAGCAATATCAAAACAAAGATAAGAGAAAAGATACAAATCGATTTATAATGGTTTGATCTTCGGACCTACATCAACTCTCAAATATCCTTATTATAACTTTTCTCTTTTTAACAAAATTAGGAGAGAACATTGATACTCTTTCTTTTACAAGATCTCTCACCCTTTATAACTTATAATCATCTCTAAACTCAAGAAGAAGGAAAAGACTCAAACACTTCTCAAAGATAGAATTTATATGGACAGTACCACCATCATAATAGGGCCACGAATTAAGGATCTAATGGTATTATCATTGGCCTAGGTAATACTACCATTGACATGAGCGGTACTATAGTCGAAAAAACACAAATAGTGCTTTTCAACTTACTCAGATGGTACCACTGCTCAGGCCTACTTTAGAGGTCACTGATTTGATCTTCTAACAGGCCTTATTCGGCTTTGGTTCAAGTCTAATGGGTTCCTCGATAAGTTAGCATCGTTTCAATCCAATACCAACTCAATTTGACTCAAAAGATATCGATCAATATTTTAACAATCCAATCATATATCCGGCATAATTATGAAGCTTCTAGCACATTGTACGCAATTCTGGCATATCGTTTGATCGTCTGACACTTCGTCCTTTCCTTCAGCATATCGTCTGATCTATCGGTATATCGACTTTTCCACGATATCTTATTTTTTGATGTAATACCCGATCCTTCTGGTATGATGTATGAACTTATAAGACAGTCTAATTTTTGACATGTTGATCAATCCTCTTGCTCGATGTTCAAGACATGATACTTTTTTCGGTATAATATTTGATTGTCCTGCTTCGACAATTTGCCCTTTGATAGTTCAAATCCATGATCGAAGTATTTCCTGCGTCACTTATCTCAAAAGCATATTAGTCCATAAAATCATTAATTGATTTCATTATCAAAATCCATGATTCAACAGTTAAAATTTAGGGTTAGGTATTTCATACTAAAATAGTTTGTGATAGAGTAGACGAATTTATTATTTTAATCTAATAACAGTTTGCAAAAGCACCTAAAATTAAGTACATGAGATGTCGATGTACTCTAGAATAAGAGAGAACAAAAGACCGGAGAAGCAATGAGAGAACCGGCATCGAGAGGATGTTATGTAGAGAGAACTTACGGAGGCTTTCAAATATGAGGTCACCTTGTTGGAACTGAAACTTCAGCGTTTGGAACTGAGACATCATCGAACGAGGACTTCGAATGAAAAAGATCAACATCGAGGGTGAACTAAAATGAGAGATAGCATGGTAATTGATACTTCACATCACTTTCATGTGAAAGGTGAAGGGAAAGTTCGTCGATTCTTTTAAACAATATGTTAATTGAACTCATTGTAAAAGGATAATTTAAACAAATAAAAAAGCATCATATAAAGTAAAAAGAGAGATTATGTGAGGAAAAAAGAATTTTTACGAAAAATTTCCTTGCCGTATGCTTTCTCTCGATCCTCCTCTTTCTCTACCGTCGTATCCTTTCCAAAAAGAATCCAAAAGAAAAGGAACAGAATAGGTCGTCAATGTTCGTGCGAATCCCGAAGCACACAGAGATCGCTATAAGCGGGATCCACCGTTTTATGAACCAACAAGGATGATCACCTGTCCAAGACATTCCAACTTGTCCTCGGAATGCGAAATCCTACTACTTGGTACGTACATCTCGTCCCTTTCGCTGTACGTTGGATGACACGAGGGAGTTTTGAGCTTCTGCCCTGTTGAAAGGATACCAAGAAAAGAAGTCACGTGGCACATATGATAAAATATAAGCAAACAAATAACTCGAGATATCTCTATCCATACCGGATGATTCTGCATGAATAAAATTTACAAAGGAAAAAAAAGGAGTAATATGCATAAAGAAAAAAACAGATAAATTCTCATAAGCTGGATTGACGAATACATACCAACATTAATCATCCTGCATCACAAGAAGAAGAAAAAAAGGAAACTGCTATAACGGAAAAGAACAGAATTTACTTACATTGCTACACCACCTTGTCGTACAGGGATCGATCACAAATATTTGTTTCAGAAAACTGTTTATAAGCAAGCTACCGAAGACAACGAGGTAAATAAGGTTTCGCAATTTGCATCTTTAACGACAGTTGATAAGAGTAGAGCTTAAGGTACACTGTCGTAGCTAATGAGTCAGAATTTTATAGTTTCAGATCTCAGAAAAATGGGTGAACAATAAATGTCTCGTTAACCCATCAACAAGTGTTGTGCTGTGATGTCTAAGTTGAAATGGGGAAAACATGTATAGGGCGCATGATCTCGTACAGGAAAATGCTAGACTTCCTGTCAACTTCCTCGATATGGATGCAGCAAAAAAAGGCAAACGAGGAAGGAGATAGGATTGGATGTCATGAGGAGCTATCTTGGTAGACCAAGCGCTTGACTCGGGAACCATATCCATAGAAGCGGTAGATGATATGGAGTACACGCAGCTTGTATGAGACATCGAAGTTACTGATGAAAGCCAGATCTGATGGTCGAGCTTTGGAAGCAGCAAAGTGGTTATATTCCTCGAACACAGAAGAGAGGGGCCACTTCTGTAGCTTTCTGAAACAGCCCACAAGACACCCTGTTCGATGCTGAATTAGCATTCGCATAAGAGAGAAAAACAAGTATGTTAACAATCCGCTAAAGGCACTTGTATGACTTTCATGTGTGTGTTAGTGTGATTTTATTTTTACCTTCCCCTTTTTGCAGTGAATCAGAATAGGGTGATTCCTTACGTCTGTAACAAAATAACATTAAGAAATAGGCTAATCAAATGAATCTCGACGACCATAATCAGCTTATAATTTAAGCAAAGAGAACAAAAAAAAAAGAGCTTTCGACTATTTCTGTACCAAGTAAGATTCTGAGAGCCATCATGATGGTATCTTTTGGTAAGGCCACAGTAGGCTCCTACAGATGCAAAACCTTGATTACAAGAATAATAAAGCATGTAGAATTACGGAACACAATAGATATTAGCTATTCCGGTATCACAGAGTTAAAAATCCAGAAATATTTATATTGAGAAAGATTGCTAATATTATAATTTGCACTTCAAGAACATTATAGAGTATTCTCAATATTCTCAGACACGGGTCAATTTGATCTAATCAACAAAACTCATGACCAACTACATGACCTAAGAGTTCCAGCTTTTCCCTCTTCAGGTCCAATTTTTCCTGTGACTAAATCCAACTTGAACCCTCAATAACAACTGTGACATTTCAATGCATTTATAATGTGACATCTTTCATCACATGTCAATACAGGAATTGGGAAGTTAACTGGTCAAAGATGATTATCCAACAGGGAAGAGTTTCTGACATAAACTGCTGGCAACAACTGTATGGTTACCATTTTTATTATGGAAGGAAGGAAAGACAACTCTTTTTCGGTATTGAGTTTTACAAAGAACATGATGTGCCTCTATCCAGCAACTTCGTTATACTCAGATTCCATGTCATAATTAACAAAAAAGTGCCTTGGAACAAAACAAAGATAGACATAATTTCTGCTAAAAGCTAATCAACTAAGAGAAGGTGGAATAACAGCAGAAAAGTCTAAAGTGACCTACAATTTTTCACCACAAAATGGAGGATTCATGACACCAATGCAAGGTACAGATGGAACAGAAACAACAACACAGCTAGGACCAACTACCGGCAGTCTATATCTTGTGATCATTACAAAGATTCTTCTGGAAAAAAATATGGCTTTCTATTATAACATGGGATAAAGAAAATAGATGACAAGATAATGACTAGAACAATGTAGGTCCTGTTGAATTCAATAAAGAAGATGGTTGGCTTACAATTATTGGCAATGCACAACGGCATAGGTTTAGGAAATGATGAATACATGTAGAGAACTCTAGCTAGTAAGATCTGGTTCAACTTATGATTCCATTAAATACCTGAGTGACGATAAGGGTTCAATCTACTGTAGAACATTTCAGATAACCTAAGAAATATAGAAAATATTTTCCTTAAATTCAAAAATGCACAAAAATTGATAAAATTCTAATACATATATCTAGATTATTATTCCTAGAGATGAATTTTCGACATTCATATAATCCAATGTCACATCCAGACGCCTCAGATTGTTAACTCCAATCTTGTATGAAGGACGTGTTTTTTATGGGGAAACACTCGTATGCTAATCCTTTTCACTTCATCACATGCCGTACGAAACTGACATCTAAAATAGATGCCTCTGTTGACCAGAAACCCTCTCAAAAGAGTTCCTCATATAGGCTTGAGAAGTATTACCATAAAATTCTAATGACGATGATTAAACTCAAATTTATCAGCGTTGCAAAAAACGCCGATCTTCAACCAGAAATCACATCAAATTCGTTATCTGCCTTCAAAAGAATGTCTTGAGAAATTGGTCTCTAAACAAAAATTACGCGAGAAGAATGAAGATTTACCTTGCTTCCTTCGATCGCGAACTGGAACAGACGAATTCCATGGGAGCGCACGAACTCCGTATTAACCTCCGGGTAGGGCTCCGGGCACAAGTACCTGCAATCAAATCCCCACTTCATCTGCACCGACCATGTCACCCCGAACAGAAAAGAAGGCGACAACACATCGAGAAAACAACTTCAGACGCGGCGAAACGAAAAAGGATCACGAGCGGCTCACACGATGGATCGAAGTTTGAGCCCTTCTAAGAAACGAAAATTGTCGGCAGCGGGGAACCCCGAGCGGTAGATCCCTCTGTCCACAATGCCGAAGTTGGAGGGCCGAACCAAGAACGACTCCTCCGGTACTCCTCCCGATCCTCCATCCTTCCGCCCCTCGTCCTCCCCCTGCACGTCTATGGATTCACCCCCGTCGCCGCCCACCGATCGAAAGATCATATCTCGGTGATCTTATCGATCAACGAGATCAAAACGGTCGCTGCTCGTCCCTCGCGAGGGTTTGGTACTCGGAGTTCGTCTCCTAATCTTGCCCACGCCGTTTCGAGTCAATAGAATCCTGTTACTCGCACAGATCCGGGGTGGGTATTCTGCCTTTATATACGCCCTCTACCACGGTACGATGTGCCTGAGGTGATTTAAGGGGGCCGACGTGGAGGCTGTTGATCGGTTGGTATGAGTGGTCTCTTTGTGGGGCCAGGGTTTTGCGACCAGTGGGATCTCCGAATGCGCAAAGGAGGTGACGAACTTGGGCGCATCAGAAACGTAACCGGGGGAAGTACGCGTGGTGGCCAGGAGATTCACTGGTCACGGAGGTGGGCCCACGCAGGATCCGGACCCCGCTCTTTGAAGGTCGTTTTGATGGTGGGCCCGCCAATATCCGAGGTGGGGCCACGGACCAAAAGCTCACCCATCACCGTCGGGTGTTTCGGCGGATGCACTTTCCGTGGTATGTATCACATAAAATATATATATATATATATATATATATATATATATATATATATATATATATATATATATATATACCAAGTGAAATAATTAGTTGTAGCACAATGGTTAATATAACATAATTATCTTTGAGGAACCTCCAACTTAAACTTGAATGTAATATATGAAAAAATAATTATAAAATTTAAAAGAAAAACAAGAACTATATGTAGATAATATATGTACTTCTCACATACATCCATGATGTAAATGATGTCCGAAATAATCTACTTTATAAGCAATATAAATTATGTCTTCATGTGATAAATTGTTTGATATGAAAAATAAATATTATTAATTAAGTGTCAGACAAATATGAACACATGTTCTGCTCTGATATCAAAATAAATATTATGATTATTTTATCAAAAAAAATGATAACTTATGGGGAAAGAATCATATCTATCAAACACACCAATGCTTTTAGTCAAAAGGATTACAAGCATTGCATTTGGAGCGAGAGCTTTTGGGTGGCTGCATTTCTTGGCCAAGATATCCTGAGGGCCTGCATCCTTGTCAAGGTTGATAAGGTTGACGTACCTGATAGAGCATTTATCGAAAATAAAATATCATAGTTTTACTTTTAAGTCATTTTTGGGAGGTGTATTTCTCATTGAGAGCACAAGGCATAACACCATCGACAAAGGAGGATTAATACGTGGATAATACGAGAACACGTCATAACCCACTATGCATCTCATGGATTTGACGTGTCAGACCGTAATATCATCTTACATAGTGATGCTAAAATACGTGGATAATATGAGAACACATCACAACCCACTGAGCATATCATGGATTTGACGTGTCGATCGTAATATCATCTCATAGTAATGCTAAAATGGATGTCTATTCATCCCAACACGTGAATCAAGAACTTGTTAATATGAGTCATAATGTTATGCATTTGTTGCACAGAACTGTAAGGGGGTATTAACATGTGGATAATCTGACGATACATCATATCTCATGCATTTGGCATGTGAATCCTTTTGTCATCTCATAGTTAGGTCAACTTGATACCATCTTATTTGACGATTTGATGTAGGCAGAACAAAAAAGGGCAAATGATTCAACATAACTTTTTTGTGGGTTAACTTCTCAATTCATTTGGATGGTTACACAAGTTTACTAATAAAAGGTTCTTTAACTATGATCTTTAAAAAACCTAAGAATATTAGCATACAATTTTACTGTCAGAATTCTCCTACTTGCAAATCCAATGCATAAGTTACATGGAGATCTTGATATAGTATTTAGAAAAGAAGAGGTCGAGCGACCTTAAATGTTTTATTGAAGTCGTTCTTGATCAATATAAAGAGCTAAGTTGATATCTTTTATTTCAATGACTTTTAAAAAAAATTGACTTCACTTCTAAAAATATGGAATCCATATCCACATATGTAATTCTGTCATGTCCCTCGATAGGACAATCAATCCAAAATTACTTAAAGATCATAAAATCAAATTTATAATTATAGACATTCATTATGCCTACAATGCTATCCTATCATTTGGTGATCCACTCTCAATTGGCTTTGTAAGATGGTGTTAATCTACTATATGATACTAAATATCTCCAACAATGGAGGATTTAAAGAATTTTATAACAACCCACGAGGATCTCACTTATGCTACTTGATAGGGAAAATATTCTCCCTTGATAGCGACTTAACACATGGTAATAAATGACAACATAGAGAGGGCAAGACTCGATCAACAATTGAGCCATATGGACATTAATTTAAAGTGGAATATTGAAATATTTCACTCATACTTTAAAATGATAGGGAAAGGAACGTTCTATGAAATATTATCCTTAATTAACCCACTCTTAGATACTACCTTAGGTATAAAAATCGAGATTAATTGCTTTTATTAAATTTTACTCCATCATCATCAGTTACTTACTTGAGTGTTGGAGAGACTAGGTCAAAATACTTGTTCAACCTCAATCTTCCTACATGAGATTACATTAGAGTCCACCTCAATCCCCGAGGAGCATCTTAGCCTTCCCTTCGACCACCTTAGATCTTTTGTACACGTGGGCTTGAACTGAGTGAGGTTGATTCGAATATTACCAATATTTTTTCCCTCATGTTGGTATTAGAAGGAGGGCTCATGACGTAAGAACATCATTGAGCTATCCTGCTTGCTCTAGCGAGGGTGCTCTACCCTTGACCTAAAGCACAATTGAAAATGATTTGAAACACTCCCTACGATAACAATACAACCAACATAGCTCAAAGCACTCTCTATAACAACAATGCAATTGAAATAGATAAAAAGTGCTTTCAACACAACCCAAAGCACTCTTCTATGATAATAGTACGATTGACATGACCCGAAGCGGGTTCAATGTTGATGTGATCAAATCACGAACGGTAACATTACTCTTAATGACTAACATCATAGGGCTATATGCACCTCAATTAGGGTTTTCCCTACTTCACGATACATTGATCACTACATTGACAAGGTCATTTTCATTATGAGTAACATTGATGTGAGTAATTCCTATACGATGGAATCACTAACATTCGACAATGATATGATTGAATATGATCATTAAGCACAATCTAATGATGATGCAGTTGAAATGATCACAAAGCATCCCTCAATATGACTGTGTCCAATCATGACGTATCCTTGGATGACTATCGAATAAAATTTGACCATTAACTATCCTTGATGAAGATGTAGCTGAGGATAGCTACCAAGTGTCTTGGCAATAACAATATGCTTGAATCCAACCATAAAACGCTTGATAACCCTACGATTGAAGTCAATATAATAATGTTCACAACAAATGACATGGTCTAATTGCTCGTTAAACAAGACACCATGACCAAAACCTTTTCATGTGTCGAAACACTCTGGAGGGGCCAGATGGATAACTTGAAGATACATTATGTCCCACTAAGCACCCCGTGGATCTGACATGTCAATCACACCACTAATTTCACAATCATGCTGACTCGTTATCATTGAAGATGTGCCACATGCTGCCATGTGGCATAGTCCAAGTAGATGAAAAGGCCACAAATACCCCACCCATTTCGCAACATTTGCATACAATACACTTTCCGAACTTCTACTTCTCTTATACGTCCGCATAGGAGAGAGTGGAAGACCGATTCTTGTTTTCTAATACTTAGAACAATATTCTCGTGTTATATTTCGTCAACTCCCTATTTAAATTCATAACATTTTAATGGTTTATGTTTTTAATTGGAACTTAGATCTTATTCCTATTTTATAACATGCTGATACTTTGACTTAAAAAGGTCTGCAAATATTGCATGTAGACCAAGAAATCTCCTCCACTTTGTACCCCTTCTCAGCGAGGCCAACTGAGGCGAACCTTTCCCTCACATCTCACTCTGCTGTTCTCCTGTACTCCTTGAGGCAAGCTCTGGTCAGCAACTGGATCTTCTCCTTCATCCAATCTCGTCGAACACTTCATTCTCATTGATCCTGCACCTGTCGGACATGGTCCAAGATCTCTACGTGGGGCATCCTTGCTTCGACCATGGCGAGATGGGTGGAGGTGAGCGTTGGCTGATGCAGGCAGTGACCCTCTGGATCACCATTTCCATCAGCTTCCACAGGTAATGCTGCTGCTGGTGGCTCAGCCATTGCTATCCTCATTGATTTAATGGAATATTTTTCGTCAATATAAGATAAATAAGATTATTTATTTTATTTTTAGAATTATATGAATTCCAATGTAAATTAACTCAAAATTAAGAAACAAGAAAAGAAAATAATAAATTCCTTCAAAATTATAATTAATTAAGCATATATGAGAATAAAGTCCTTTGAGACAATACCTTGGAAAGCATTAGACTAAAGCATTTCCGCAACCTTAACTTGAACGATGTCAACTGAATGCTAGAAGACCTACTGCTATTTGTGCTTGGGTGCCTTCTTCTTGGAGGCAGCAGCAACATCGACCTGCGGCTTCGGATGGCGTTCTGCTTCACTCGGATCCAGCCACTTCAAGGGGTGGCGATTGAAGAAGGGCCAGTTGGGCACAGTGATCAGTGCGGTAAGCACGACTCCACCGGCGAATGTAAGCATCATCGTCGGAAAGGAGCCGATGGTGTATCCGGTCCCCAAACCAGCGATCGCGAACACGACGAGCATGATCTGCATCACAATCTCCGCGCCCTTCTGCCCTTGCCAGTCCATCTGAAATCAAGAACAAAAACAGAAGATCTTACACAGATTCGAGATCGGGAAGCAACTTCGTCTGAAACCCCCAAACAAATCCAATTCGAGATGCCGGAGATCATCAAACAAATTGCCGAATTCAACAGAGGAATCGAGATCTAAATTGAATTCGACAAACGAAAACCCTGGATGGATCAGAAGAATCAAGAACCTGAGCGGATCGAAGGGAGAAGAAGGAGACTCGAGCAAACCTGGCAAACCCTCGTTCTGATCCCCAGATCTGCCCTTTTTTATCACCGGCATCGGTGTCCGGTCGGGAAGGTAAGCTTACCGTCAGCTGTGGCACGGGCTGGGCTGGTGATACTTGACCTCAAGCCCAACCTGATACATGTAGTTTCTAAGCGTTCCATTCTATGCCCATCATGTTCGCATTCTCTCTAAGTCACACATCAGCGTATTTAAACTGGCTCATCGTAACTGGATTCGTGCCATTAAAATAGGTTTATTTTCGTAAGAGGATTGATTAATGTAATTTTCTTAGATTCATACTAATAGATGAAAGAATCTTTGTCCCACAAAAATTACACCGATGATGTACCTGATAAAATATTTTTGACATTTAGATTCATAAAATAGTCGAGCTATTCATAAATCAGAAATGATGTTTACTGAGATTATTTGATAGGATCTTAGAAACACATTTAGGACTCTTTTTTGTTATATGCATATTGAATATAGTTCTGGAACACTAATTAACATCTTAGGGAACAAATCAAAATGCAAAAGATCCAATTAAAATTTATTACTCGATTTAAGATTCTTGGTTTTACAATACATCTCATTGATTTAAGATTTGGATCCATTAAACAAAGGTAGCTAACTAGGATTAGTGAAGTGAACCGGGTTTAGTTTGTGTATCCAAAAGTTTGGGTCGGGTTCGAATTGATGCACATCATCAGTCATAGATAAGCTTCGGGTCGGATCTTTGGCTCGTCGATTCGGGCCCCCTCTTCTTAATACGGAAAGGAGCGATGTTTTCCCCTCGGTTATCCGCTGCTCAGCCGGCTACGGGCCTGCAGCCTGCGAAGAGACGAGCTGCGAGCACCGTCCGCCGCCGAAAGACAGCAGCCGCCTCCGTCAATTCCGCTTCTATGGCGTTCTGCTATGGCTCTCCCTGCTCCGGGTTCCGCCACAACAAGTTATGCGCGGCCGAGATGGTACCCTCCGCATATCGGAGGTGAGGTGCTTGACCAATTGCTTCTTAGAAACTTTCTAGTCTTTTGTGCGGTATATCTCCTATTACCAATTCCTTCATTTTATATTCTTACCAAGGGTTGCTACCAAATCACGAGCACTTCGGATCTCATCTGACCATTCCTGCATCGAAGTAAGTCCCTTTCCTCTGCCGATTAATCTTTGTATCTTTGCTTTGACTGTTGGATTGTAGGGGTACGTTAGCTACCACATTCGATGACAGAAACCGGTGATTCATGTGAAGAGAGCTGGTTTCGATACGTCAAAACTGGAGAAGATGACCATCTTCTCTCCTTATATTATGATTCTTTTTCGGCCGGATATATAATTAACAAAGCTGATTGGATTGTTCATAGGATGGCACATTTTGGCATGATGTTGCATTCGTTAGGAGTTATAAGTTTGACAGCTTGATCTTCCCATTTTATCAGCCACAGTTTTTTGCAAAGTTTTGTGCAAATTCCGAGTATCTATTTCTTCTTCTAATACGTCGCATCCATTAGAAATCTTTTGTGGTTTCGAACATTGTCATCTTTTGTAATTATGCAGTTGATTTTTGTTTTAAGGTAAGGAGAGTCAACTATCGGCCACCTGGGACTCAGCACAACCTCTTGAATGAAGTTAGTTTGTCCCTTCGTGAGAAAAGGTACGTGAGCAATGACCTAATCCACTTTTAGCCAGTAAAATTGCAAATTTGAAAAGCTCCTTGTTCATTACTGAACTTGTTTGTTGGTTCCGGCAGCTTTGGTTTGATATTTGGACGAAGCGGAAGTGGAAAAACTACTCTCTTGCATGTTTGCCTCCAGACCTAGTGTATTATTATTCATGGACACTGATGGTCCACTTGAAGCCCCTTTCTTTAGTTCACTCTTTTTGATTCCTTAATGCAGCTGCTGGCTGGATTATCCAAACCTACATCTGGGTCAATCATTGTGCAAAGATATGGGTATGATGGAAAACCAAGTGACTCCCCTGAACCATTAGCACCAGAAAGGGTTGGTATTGTGTTTCAGTTTCCTGAGAGGTACTAAATGGTTCTTGTATTGTTTTCCAATCATGAAACTCATGTGTGTCTTTGTATTTTACTTTAAATAACAAAAGGATTTCAATTAATATCTTTTCCTGTCAGGTTTTAGATTTCTGAGAAGTTCTCCTCACAATAATCTAACCTATATATAGTTATATTACTATTCCAGTCGACAAGAGAACAATATAATTGGCTTAGTGGGTTTGATTTCTAGGAGTTCTTTTAGTATATCCCATCATTGTTGTCTGAAAAAACAAGTGCTTTTGATTTTAGTGTGCAAGATTATATTCTAATAAATTGAAAGATCTATTGGTTTTAATTGTGCAAAACCTGTTAACTTGGGAAATGAGGGACAAAAATGCTTCAGATTAAGGTTGCTATTTGCTCTTCATGCTAACATAATTATTCTAGATCAACTGTAATAGAATAGAAATTTCTCTAATGGAATACCTACCTTCTCGTATTGTTCAGAAGTGCATCAAGGAATGTGTTGAGTTCAGAAACTCTCATAAGAATTAAATTTGCTTGGTCATCTAGAATGATTATATGATTTCAATGTTCTACTTTAACATTATCTAAGAAGTATTTTGGCTCCTAATATCAGAACAATCGTTCTGCAATGATAGGCTTGATTAATTATTTAGGAGCACAATAGGACTTTCCAGTTATTGATGAACCACTTTAATTGAACCTTTAACCTTGGTCTATCTTCACAAGTCAGTTTATATGGTCAAGGTAACTTTATCCATTACATTTGATCCCATAGAGATAAGAACAAATAAAGATGCTTTGTTTTATTCTTTATAGCAGCGATTGTTGTTTCTTTTCCTTACTAGTTTGAAATTCTAATACATTAGGTACTTTTTAGCTGATACCATTCTCGAGGAAATGACCTTTGGGTGGCCAAGGCAGAAGGCAGATTTTACATTGAGAGAACAACTTGCTTTGAATTTGCAATATGCAGTTAATTCGGTAAACATAACTTTCTTATTTCTGTGTGAAGTTCGTATGTTCTAGATATTCCAACACTGTTCTGTTTTAGAACAGAAAACTTGCTACCTTGATATCTTTGTCAGTATTACCCCTAAAAAATGGTTTCATGTTAGAGCTTACTAAGAAGATTGCATGACCTTTTGAGAAATTTGGAAATTACAGTCACTGGTTCATTGATACTTATGCTGGAATTCCAGGTTGGTTTAAATACAATATCTTTGGATGAAGATCCTCATTCTCTGAGTGGTGGCTATAAACGGCGCCTTGCCTTGGCAATCCAGTTAGTAAGAATTTTTTTTGGGATGCTGGAGCGAACAGGAATTTAGTTATGGCTGATGTGTGATCAAATAATTGCTCCTTTTGTGACGTGCTATCTTCTATGATTTTCAGGTTCAGACACCACAACTACTGTTACTAGATGAGCCACTTGCAGGTCTTGGTATGATCAATTATACCTGTTAAACAACTATGAAGTTGTTGTTGATCTCCTCAACATCAAACTTGCTTGCACTAAAATAATTTTAGAATATATACCGTTTTATCTTGTTTTGGATGTTATAGATAATTCTCCTGTGAATTGCTTTTTGAAAGATGATACAACATTTAACTCTTTATGGATGGTTTCTTGAGTTCCTGATGTGTCCCCTTTACTTTTATATATACATTGTTATGTTTTGTGAGGATAAAAAAATTTGTTTCTACCTCATTTGTTATGATTCTTCTTTTAACCAGATTGGAAGGCTCGGGCTGATGTTGTGAAGTTGCTAAAGCATCTAAAGAAGGAACTAACAATACTTGTCGTCAGCCATGATCTAAAGTGTGTTTGCTTTTTCTGTTTGTTGTCTTCTGTTTTAGGAATATGCCACCTTTTTTTTTTTTACATGTGAAAGAAAAGTACTAAGAGAAATTTAGTTAACACCTGTCACATCATTTTTTAAAGCAATATTGGGACAATAATTGTTTTATCCATAGAGTAATTTAACTGCCAATTTATACTTTATTGCTCGATTATCAAACTCTTGTCCTTTAAGAAATTTGTCTTTCTAGATATTTGGATTATTTCAATGATAGATGAAACAATTCAAGGTGCAAAGATATCATCAAATTGTCATGGTGAAGACAACGTCGTCAATATAATTCTTAACTTCTTTGAAACTAATGAGATATTTGTCATCTGTGTCCCTATAATCTTGCTTCCCTTGGTAACTTTGAAAAAGGAAAAAGAAGTTGCAATGGAGATGGTGCTAATGTTTCAAGTAATTGCAATATTTTTGTTAAAAATGATTAGAATCTTGGTATGTGTGCTACACAATTCATGTCTTTGCATCTAGGAAATCTCCACTTGTAATAAAAATTTGGTATGTAGCCATAGGGTTATAGACCTTGTGAAATTTGCTGATGTCAATGTACTGTGTGTTGAAAAATAAGAGAGTTTGCACTCTACAAGAGCAAAGAAGTAGAAGTCTATCGTAGTTAGAATTTTGGTCAAAATTCTTTTTTATAAACCAAGTGGTTTGGGCATTATATATCATCTATCTAAATTGTTAGTCTAAATGCTTTACTAATAACCAGATTACTTACAGAGCATATGTTGTCATCCTGTTAATCATGTTTAGTTTAGGCACTGTGACTCAGCATCAAAGCTAGGATAAATGTCTTTTTTCTTGTAGCTGCCTGGATTTATCAAATATATATTTTGATTTTTGGGTGCTTTGGATGTTGTAGATCTTGGTTATAGTTTATCTTCATTTACATGATTTTGTAATATAGTTTTATATCCATAACATGAGAACAGACTTGTTTGTGTCACCTATTTCTGTGGGTACTTGCAATCAAAATAGCTACACATAAGTTAAATAATTATGATCAGTGTTTGATATTTTCTTAGTCGTGGTCATTCATTAAAATTTGGATATTTTTAATGTCTCAGATAAGTACCGACTCATGTGTTGCATATATCAGATGTAGACTACAGATATTATAATGTTTTTGGCACTATTGTGATTAGCAAGTTAACTATTCTCGACTTATTCAACACTAAACATCAATTCGGCAACTGCTTTTTGTTATGAAATTTCAATAAGCAAACCCTCAATGGTGTGTTATCTTATTGGAGCATCTGCATTGATGCATTTTTGTTTGCATGGATCTGCTGATGTAGCATACTCTTGTTATCCCTTTTCAGGGAACTGTCATCTCTAGTAGATATATCTTGGAGGATGCAAATGGGAGGAATTCTAAAAGAAGAAGCATTTCCTCTTTAATCAGCCTGTGTATGTTTATCAAGGTTGGTTACTTTGATAGACTAATATAATGAATTTTCTGGATCAGCAAGTGACATCTAACCATCACATTTCAAAGATATTATGCAGTCTTTGATCACTCTATATGGTAGTGGAAGAGTTCATTTCTCCATCTTCGGAAACATATAGTTGACAGTCTCTAAACAGTGTGCATCCTGCTTATATAGTGAAATTTATACAACTAACAGCTAAGAATATGTATGATTCATCTCTTGATAATTTCAATTGGTTTTAAAGAATTTTGACCTATTCTCATTTTAAAAAAAGGATCATTTTTGTCTGTTAATTTCCAAACACTTTGAAGACAAACTGGGAGAATCTGTCTAAGAGATGATTTGAGGTCTACCTTTGGCAGAGTAGAACAGCTCCACAAGCATATTAAAAAGATAAAATAAAAGGCAAGAAAAAAAAAATTCCGAAAGCAAGTTTTCCTTTTTATATATTTTATTACTGTTGTATTTTCTGGTGATAAATAAGCTATGATTTTTTTTCTTGTATTGGAATAATTAAATTACATTTCTCTCCTGCATTGCCATTGGAGAATATATATATATATATATATATATATATATGTATATATTGTAGAATTTTTTTATCGAAATTTATTTTTTATATTATATATTTTTATATTAATTATATATTATTCTCTGAAATTAGATATTTTTAATATTTTGATTCTTATATTTTGAAAAGTTACATTGGGATTTTCATATTTACGAAAGTAAAATATTTAATCTCATATCTCCTTACGTCGTCAATTATGTTGATAAAAATGTCATATGCTCAGTAAAAAACGAAAGTGAGGTAAAGTCAACATATGTTTAAGTTTAAGGATCGTAATGTAATTTTTTAAAATATAAAGATCGAAATATTAAAGATAATTAATTATATAAATAATGTAATTTTTTAAAATATAAAGATCGAAATATTAAAGATAATTAATTATATAAGATAATATGTAATTAATGCTCTCGATTCTCTTACCAATTACTTTCCACTTGTAATTCCAAACTACAATGCCAAACTATTGAGGCGGCCACAAGTACTTCTCCATCAAAAGCCATTAATGCTTGTTGTTCCACATCTCTTCTTCTAAGAAACACTATTCCCTTCCCCTTCTCTTCCGAGCAATCTGTCCCTACGCCAAGAGGACCACAGCAACACATTACACAAGGAAACAAAAGAGAAATGACATTTCTTCTACTGCAGTTCATGTTCTGGGTTATTGTCTCGTTGGCAGCCCTTTGCAAGTGCTGCAGTTTCTGTCATGGTAGTCTTTGGCCACCTCTTTAAGATCGCCGGAGAAGCCTACTACGATGCACTCGAACTCGCCCGCAGCTTTCTTGTGTCCGTGTTGCAGTACGTTGTGGAGCTCCTCAAGGACATGGTCATGTCGAGTGATGAGCGTTGCGACTGGGTCACTCCAGCTCACAACGTCGGCCATCGCCGAACTACTGGAGGAGAGCGAGATAGCGCTCGGCGGACTGGCCGCAGGCGTTCACAGGGACGTCAGAGATGGTCGTTGAAACAGCTGAAGTATTTGGAGCAACTACAAGGATGCTGTGGGGTATACATCATAACGCTTAATTCTTCGATTCTTGTTTCTTCACTTCATTAGTTTAGCCGTTAAAGCAAATAATAAGGAATTCCATTAACATTTTAGACAAAGTATGGTGCCTTACAAGTTTGTTTTTATTCCTCTGCTAACATTAAAATACTTGTTTATATATCCATCCAGACTAAATTAATTTGATCTAACTTGTATGTCGAATATCGTCATGTCGAAATCGTTAAGTATTCAAGATTGGAACAAAGAGAACTTTTGAAAGGGCAAAAAAAAAAAAAAAAAAACTCATATATCATGTCTTTTGTCCCACTTTAATTCGAGGGGTTAAAAGTATCTATGTCCAATATATCAATCACTTTATGTTAAAAAAAAAAAAAAAACTGTGTTTATAAGAATCTTAAACTCATAAGTTTCCATTTGATTAGTTTCAAGCAAAAAACCATACTTGAGAAGAGTTTATATAATATTATTTCTTATAACAACTCATTTAATGAGAGAATATATTTTTTAAATGATATACTGTAATATGGCATCATGGATACCTACCATGGCATGTCCAATAAATATTTTAAATTTTATGTGACGAGGCTCAATTAATCAAAAATAAAAATATTTCAAACCCTATTTGAGTTTTTTGAACCCATTCTATTCTAATGCAAATCAATAATTTTCTATAAAATATGATGCAGACTGTATACCCTAATATCTATAGTGGCTTTTATACTTCTTACTTTTTAACTACTTATCACAATGAATAGAGGGATTTTTCTATAAAAAATAGAAAAAAGAGATAATAATAATAATAATAATAATCAGACTTGTCTTTTTATATATTTTGTATATTTTATATCCATCTCTATCAGTCTCATCTTCTTGTATTTTGCATATACAATTTGATCTTTCACCATCTATGAATGCAAGTCAACAATGTTTGCAAATCGTTTGCCTCTTCTTCCAACCCTCTTAATTTCCTTTTCCTCAGTATCTAAAGTTGTTCATTGGGAACAAGTTTTGTGCATCATCAACAGGGAACAGAGTGCTTCTCATGTGTAATGGACACTTAATAGCAGGTTATCTATCCATAGATCGCAACATACAAACATCAATCAACTCCAAACAAGCATCTGACTTGAGATTTTTATGATAGCCCAAAGGGAAAGCAAATAGCTACTAGTGGATGGATCAATTGCATCCCTTTGAAGAAGTAGTAACGATGGTGAAGCTACTACATCCTGAGGAAAACAGTAGTGACATGGGGGAAGCTTCTCTCACCTGAAGCTTCACACCGTTCCTTCTAAGGGCTGTCACCCCTGCAGCCACTGATGACCTGACAACCTCTGTTGTAAGGGTTCGCACTTGGGAAGGAGTGGCAATTGTAGTAAGGGACTCCGAGCTTGGTGCAGGGAACCACATCCCCCTTGAGTGCCTCATAGCTGATGTACTTCTTCCCTGAAGCAGCCCACAGCAGCCTCCTGTTATCCTCTGTGCTCATCTCCATCTCCATCTCCATCCCATTCTCTTGTCCACCGTAAGGCATCTTCTTCTTCATCACCATCACCTGCCTCGAGGTGCTGCTCTCCAGGAGGAGGAAGAGAAGCAATGCCAGGGAGATCAGGCCTCGCTTTACACTGAATCCCGAGAAGGGATCTGCCATGTCTTCTTGGCTTTGGATCACAGAGCCGGTCTTTGTTCCTGTGGGTGGGAGGCTTTAATGAGTTGTCAGCTGCTCCACCTGCCTTGGCATTGTGGTCAGTGAAGAGAAAGGGACCAGCAAATGACTGTAGGCAAATGAACAGGGGAATGCCAACTCCATCACATGTTGAGGATTTAGAATGTAGTAACTCTGGCTTTTGTCACTTCAATTGATTACAGCTGCAATAATTGTACTACTAAGAACAGTAAGGTTTCACTCATCTTGTGAAGTTGGGGAGTAAAAATCCTTGAATTTTCAGAGGACTCTTATTAGCTGGAGGGAGCCATCATGCAGTAGAAGAGCCGTCTTCAGTGGACTTTGATATCCGCAGTATGTATGTGGTCCTATAGATGTAATCTATAGTTATACTATAAACATTACATAAACTTAAGATTACATACACACTTTAAAAGCTGATAATTCTTTAGATGTAATCTTTAGCTATACTTCAATCTTAATCCATTCTAACAAATAAAGATTACCATATGCTAACAACTTAATATCATCGATCGGGAGTCTATACAACTTTGTCTTGTCCCGAAAATATAAGATCATCATGAAAAGTTCCGAGGGTAAAATAAAAAATTGAAGTTGAATAAAGATCGAATTATTCCGATGTGGTCTATAAACCTTCGGGGTTATCTCAAGATAGGACTTCGATGAACTCGATCTCTTTAGCACCACACGATAGAGGACGATCTGGGGGTGTCGGCTGTCAGTTCAATCATCTTCAATATCAAGAAGATACCTCGTTATCTCCTACCTCAGCTCTTTAGTGGCTCTCAATTGATGAACTATGATTGATATCGGAATATTTCCTATCACCTCACTTCTTCAAACCTCCCATCATATCAACAGAGATAGTTTTACTTTAAGAATTTTACTTTCTCTAAAAGAACTTGAATATCAAGTGTTTACAGCACTCTCATAATGAGAAACCAATAATATGGCAGCCACAATTAAAAAAAATAAATAAAGATTACATGCTTGCTCACAATGTCATAGATTTGGGCTCCATGTTGACTTTATGAAAAACCAAAAACCTCAAACAAAAGCCATTCTTTGGTATAGTATCTGAGACAATGAGAAATCTCTTGCGACTTGTTCAAATTTGTTGGATCACCAAAAAATAGTTTCAGCAGCAGGAGAACTTGCTTGAAGTCTGCTTTGTCTCATCATTCCCATTCCTGTAAGGCTTACACTGTTGAGAGACAATTCTGGTTTGTATGAATCAGAGTTCAGAGCCTTCCTGCTGAGGTTATTATACATGTCCTCGATGACAATCTCAAAGGCCTTCTTCACATTCGTAGAATCAAGAGCAGAGGTCTCAATAAGGAACAGCCCTTCAGCTTCTGCAGAGCTTTTTCCTTCATCGACAGATATATTTCTGATGTTCTCCAAATCACATTTGTTGTCGACCAGCATCTTTGCGACTGTGGCGTCGGAATGCACTGCATCATGTTTTGAATCAGAGTTAAGATGCATAAGAACATTGTTGTATTCAATAATGAGCAACAAGAGTCATTTGGTGATGATCTGAAGATTTTTCATTTCAATAACTCGACAGACAGAATCTAACGTTTTAATTTTCAGATTCTGTTTGAATTTTAGATAAAAATATTGATCGAAGTCAACTCGAAGTTGATGAGAACGAATGAAGAGACCAATTCAGACGGCTACTCTCGCTCGGCAACATTAGTAGTCATTTGGCCGAGCGTTGCAGGTAACGTAGATTGGCTTCTGTTCTTCGTCAGCTCTGTTGAGGGTGATGTCGTTGTTCGTCGTAATCTGCAGTAGTCGTCGTCTTTTGTTGTTTTACTACTTTGGTTTTATTCCATCAGTAGTTTCTTTTTTGCACTTCGTTTGTGATTGGACATTCCACTCGATCGAGGATGAAACTACTAATTCAGGTGTTCTATGTGTAGATTCGAAGAACACACTCTCACGGAAACTTATATAGAGACGAGAAAATATAATTTGATTCGAAGAACCCCAAGTATTTTTGGACAAAATCTGATCCTTCGGGGCTGATGGCTGATGAGAATGGTATATATACTCGATTTGATTACGTACTAAATTAGGATTAAAATATATATACCGAAATTTGTGATCAACCATCGATGACGAAGACGACTATGGCTTTGAGATTTGTGCAAGCGGTCCAGATTGTCCCACAGAACCGGTCTCACTCTACCTGTCGCTTCTTGGTTCCCATCTATTGCTGCAGGACGAACAGAACTGCTTACCCCAATTCTTTCTTTCTGCTTCTTCTCTGGGAGATCGAGATCGAGATCGAGATCGAGGCCATGGATCCCAACCCCAAGTCCTTCCCCATCCTATCCTACGTGATGTCCCGCCTCCCTCGGATCGCCTCCTTCAAGGCCGGCCAAACCCACATCGGCGACCACGACATCGAGCAGCCGCCCCACGTCGACGTCGATGTCGAGCTGGTGGGACGGATGCCCCGCCTCCAGCACCCGGCGCTCCTCGCCTCCATGGCCACAGTCATCGCTGACGTGGCCCAGACCCGCTCCGTCCTCGGCGTCCTCGGCGACCGCCCCGACCACGAGGCCGTCGACGCCGCCCGCGCCCGCATCGCCGAGATCGACGCTGACCTCTCCCAGCAGCTTGGGGAGATCGTCACCGCCTCGTGCCCCGAGGGGACCGATCCGCTCCAGCGCCGGGCTAGGGCCGAGCGCGAGAAGGTCGCCCTGCGCGCCGTGGTCCAGCTTGACGAGATGCACGAGGCGTACGAGAAGTTTCTGAGGGGCGCGGAGGAGAGGCTGGTCAAGATGTATGGTTCTGCCGCCGAGGGCAGCGAGGCTGTCGGTGTCAGGGAGGGTCCTGCCGTGGTACAGGAGGAGGGGGAGGGAGTGAATGAGGAGGTTATCCGAATTCTGCAAGAAGGATCAGGAAATTGCTTGGAGAGAGTGGACCTCTCTGGCCGACAGCTACTGTATCTTCCCGAGGCATTTGGCAAGCTGCGAGGCTTGGTCTCCCTCAACTTGTCCAACAACCAGTTAGAGGTCTGTTCTTGACTCCTCTCTAGCTTGCATTCTTTTCTTTGAGCTGCAAATTATCTTGGGAAGCTTATTTGTGGTCATAAAGGACTGGTAGAACCGTTGTAGCACATGTACATGTTTTAGTCATTTTCCATTTTCCTTTTCAATTTTGAACATTATGCACGATATTTGGTAATTCAAAATCTAGTATATCGGAATTTATGCTTCGGAACAACCAGTCACTTGAGCTGTTCTATTTGTAGGAAGGATATTAGTTCAACCCTAACAAAACATAACTTTGATAATGTGTAAGATGATTAATTTATTGTTTCCCATTATTGCTGTGAATGGTTGATGCTTTTGTTGGTTATCTCATTTGTTTTTTTAATTTGTTTTACTTTGAAGGGTCCGCGGAAGTAAATTGTTGCAACTAAGTTGCACCAGTCTCAAATTTCTATACCATGGCAACTATGCAAATAGTTTACAATAATAAGAACACTAATAATTAGGGACTGACTTATCTAAATGGTATTAGAGGATACTTTGCTTTTGCAGGTCTAAACAAGTTGGATTCACAGATTTGGTCATTTATTATCATTTATTCTGAATGTTGTTTTAGTTGGATGGGAATGATAGTGACAATATATTATTCTTCTGAGAAGGATGTTGAGATTGATTTGTGCTACTAATAGAAAAGACATAATGAAAGAAAATATGTGCACTCTCGAAGAAATCCGGGAACCACCAGTCAAGGATAAAATGAGTAAAACACCATTAAAGGTGACTTGGCTATGCCCAAATAAGATATAAATTGCCATATGATAATATTTTTTATCTTTATTTCCTACATTGCTAAGGAAAAATTAAAGGAAGTTGACGAAGAAAAAGGTGGAAGAAATCAACATTTCGTATGGTTGACTTGAAGATTTCGTCTCTATAAGGAGGTCCCATCATTCTATAAAAATGAAATGAAATAAATAAGATAATTGACATATATAATAAAAAAGGCAGATTATTTACCAAGACAAGTCTCAAAATTTATCTTCCTGAAAAAAGGAAGAGACAAATGATTTATTTGCCTTGATGTAATTATAATAAGTACCTTCTCCCACAGTGTGTGGAGTACTGCAAGGCCGTAACCCTTTCTCCCACAGTGTGTGGAGTACTGCAAGGCCGTAACCCTTCGTGAACTAAGTTCATAAGATTTTGAATGAGTCCAAGAAATTACTTGTTTTGTAATTTTATTTTCTCCCACCCCCAGGTATCATACCATTTAAATCCCACCATTCTGAAATCCCTAATAACCAATCTATTTGCCACCCTAGAATTTCCTTTGACCATGCATTAACCCCAAACTGCAGTGAAACTGTTGATATTGGAGCTCCCCAGCATTAGAGACTAGTCAATCAACCTCAAAAACAAATAAAGCTAGTCAAGAAAGGTGGCATCAATTCCTTTCTGCCGGCTCAAAGCTGGTTTGTGTTCGCAGCAAAGTTTTACATCTCGACAGTACAAGCTGGTACAAATCTGTATTTACTGGTTTGATCAAGTACCAATATTGAAACATCTAGATCGATATCAATATAATACCATTCTTTTTTTTATTATTTTGTTATAATATTGAATGGTATATATTAGTAATTTAGTTATTTTATGTACAATAGAAATCTTAATTCATGTTCAATAGTAGTGGTAATTTAGTTGTTGGAGTTTGGAAGAGCAGATCAGTGATAATTGAATTTAGTTTTGCTTTTTCTGGATGAGGATTTCAATTGATGACATTGTTTGGTTTGGTATATATTATGTTTTTAAGCTTTAAAAACTGTGAAGGAGCCTCCCCTCATGTTTTGCATATACACTATTTTTGTTAAACAGGCTTTAATATTGTGGCCAAACAAACTGTCATAAACTAGCTTCCAGACAAAAGATGTTTATCTGTTAGTTTTTCGTTCTTAGCTATTATCTTCCTAGTGAATATGCCTGCATGTTCTGGTTGCATCTGGAAATTCATTCAACAACACAGATCTCTTTGATTCTTTTACAGGCTATTCCAGATGCCATATCAGGGTTAGAATGCCTAGAGGAACTTCGACTTTCTTCCAATAGTCTCCTTTCATTGCCTGATTCCATTGGGCTGTTAATGAATTTAAAGATCCTTGATGTATCTGGTAACAAGCTCAAGTCACTACCAGATAGCATCTCAAAATGCAGGTATTGCTTAAGAACTTTCCACCTTAAGTATTTCTCAGATTGTTCTTGGGGAACTCATTTTTGTTCATGTTCAGGTCACTGGTGGAGTTTGATGCAAGCTACAATGAACTAACTTACCTGCCAACAAATATTGGATTTGAGCTGCAGAATCTGGAAAAACTTTGGATCCATCTCAATAAGATACGATCTCTTCCCACATCAGTCTGTGAGATGAGATCTTTGCGGCTTTTGGATGCCCACTTCAATGAACTTCGAGGTTTACCATATGCCATCGGTAAACTCACAAATCTCGAGATTTTGAATCTTAGCAGCAACTTCAGCGATCTACAAGAGCTTCCTGCAACATTTGGCGACCTGATCAGTCTTAGGGAACTGGATCTTAGTAACAATCAGATACATGCACTGCCGGACACATTTGGTCGGCTAGACAAGTTGACAAAACTCAATTTGGATCAGAACCCACTGGTTATTCCCCCATCGGAAGTGGTAACTCAAGGAGTTGAAGCAGTTAAAGACTACATGGCAAAAAGATGGCTTGACATCTTGTTAGAGGAAGAGAGAAAGAGTATGGCTGAAGAAACCTCACCAGCTCAGGTTGGTTGGTTGACGCGCAGCACGTCATGGCTAACCAACTGGGTTTCTGGAGTTTCTGGAGGTGTTGCAGAGCACCTTGGTGCTGGACAAAAGCCTTCTAGAGATCCCTATCTTGATCAGCAGTTGTGATTAGATTCTCATGACCACGCTATGTTTAGGACTTCCTATTTTGTACAGTTACTGGGCACCGAACATCCATCTCATTTTAGTATGTGTGACGTTTCTCTTCTTTTGCAGCAGTTTGTTTGTGAGCTGGTGTCAGTTTGTTTCCAGCATGATTCCAAGTTTTCTGATAAGTGGAAGGAAATGACAGTAAGCTATCCACACCCAGTTTGTGTCCAAAGCTCACATTGTTTCTCTCTCTAGTGCCTTCACTTTCCAGTGTTCTTGTTTAGGACTTGAGTACCAATTAGACTACTACTTATTGACTGGTATTATCAGATGGAATAAGTTTTGGTTTCAGAACATATAGTCTGATATCAGTGTCTATATAATTTATTTTCAGTTTTTCTATTAGTTTCTCCATCTATATCAGACAGCTTGATAGAGACCGAAATCGGTATTAACTTTCTTGATCTCTGTTTGTTCTTTTTGAATTAGGGTTGTTGGATGCTTACTTGATTAAGTTACCACAAATCCCAAAAGGATAAGTTGTTTGGGAAGAGATCAATATACTAACGAAGTCTTAACACATTGAGTTTTGTTCAAACAGCTAAATGCAATCAAATCTAATTCTAGTTTTCATTCTGTCTGCAGCTAATCTAAATCATGAGCATTTTGGTTCATTTGCTGATGCCCTCGGACAACGGTGCATCAAGATGACATTCCAGTTCCCAGTTGAGCCACCTCAGTGAACAAGCAGCAAGGCAATGTGAAATCTGTCTGAATCTACATGTTCACATGTTCCACTCTACATCCAATTAAAGGAAACTATCATACAATTTTTTGGTGAATCAAATCAAGATGGGTTTACATTTGTGGTCACTCATCATGGACTTCTACACAGCTTCTGTCGTTTCTTTACTGGATCACCCTTGTTTCCATTGGACATCAAGATTGCTCAAGCAGGTTCTCCAAGTACAAGTTCAAAATGTATCTGCTGGTTGACTGCACATCAAGCCTCTTCTCCCTTGGTTCATATTTTCCTTTGCGCAGCTGGTACCTGTGAGTCACAGCAGAAACTGTGTATGTCTGGCCTTCTATTGTCACACTCTCTCCGCAGTGTATGTTCTACATTAACAAATAACACAGAGATTATTATGCCAGTCAAACAATTTAAATCTCGATCCATCTTATATCTTATATCGTCTGGAGGTATGATTTCTTTCGTCAAACTATGTACAGAATTTCATATTGTCTTTTGTTCATCAAAAAATTGAAGAAAATATATTTTAGCTATGATTCAGAGAGGAATATGATGAGTGTCAATAGCGTCTAAAGATTGAAATAAATTTGAAGAACAAAAGACAGAATGCAAATACCTCCATGTCTGATACTACAACACAAGATTTTTATCGTGAGACAATTCCAAACTTGCTGAATATATTTGAAGAATTTGGAGAACCATCTTTTCACTAACATTTCTCACTTGAATTTACTGATTAATGTGACATAAGAAGATGAGTGGAAAAAAGGGTCGAGTCTCCTGGAAATATCTACAGTTTCATATGGGGCATGAATGATTAATTCTTCTTGATCTGCAAAAGCTGAACTTTAGTTTACTGAATGTGATTGAGCTGCTAAATCCACCAAACAAAAAAAGATGCATGTTACATGTTTCACATGAGGAAATAAACCAGCAGTTATATTCTGAGGCCAAAATGTCACAATCAAAAGCAATATTAGTCCCATATACCTCAGTAGTTGAGATGAGCAGATGTTTTTGTGTCTAAAATTAGGGGAAAATGTCTTAAGAGTGCTTTACTAAGAACATGAGATCCCATTTGTAAGAACACACAGTGTGTTGCACTTGGTAGATCTAATGGAGGGGAAGAATGCATTAATTAAGCCTAAATAGTTTATAAAGGCCTTTCTACTGGATTATATCTCCCATATTGCAGGATTCGATGTCATTACTTGCTCTAAGACATGATAAAATGATCACATCGGCAACGAATGCTCTCAGTATCTTAATCTACCAAAAAGCTATACCCAACAAGGATCCAGAGAAAGAGGGAGAAGGCTTGAAGCAGTACCGAGGGAAAGCAGCGGACGCCGAGGCTCCTCGGCGGCGGCGTGATCTCGACTACCTCGAAAGGGTGGTGATGATCCCTGTCCCTCTCCTTCTTTCTGCACATTATCCGATGAACGAAGCCACCCCGCACCTGCCAATTGCCCAACATCGTCATCCTCATCATTTGGAGTTCCTACCGAGCACATTACAGAACATGAATCAACGACATCCTTCCCACCCTGCGACAGGAGAAAGAACTGGAAGCCATGGCCGCCATTTGGTCTTTGCGCTGAGGAAGAGAAGAGAGAGAGGCAGTGGAAGAAGAGGAGGCTGCTGCCGTGTGGCTCACAGGAGGGAAGTTGGAGAGAAGGATATTTAGTCACGTCTGGTGGTTGGTATTGGCCGCAGCGGCTGGCGTAGTCTCCATACACAGAATACAGGATGTGGTGGTCCTCTTTTGCACTTTAATAGTGTCGTCAAACATAGTACTAAAAATAAAGTGGAAATTTGTAATAAATTAATTTTACATAAATTTCAATTTATATAAAATACTTTGTGTTCACACGAGCTCATACGCCACGGACGCACCCATTGTGGCCCTTTTATCCTACCTCCTTCTTTATTGGCGGAGGGATGACCCCACATGCTGTACCGACCTACGATACGGGTTTACGCGAGGGTAACAGGAAACGGGTGGGAAAAAAAGTAAGAGAGAAATAACTCTAGGGATCTCTAGAGGTTCTCGTGTAGACGCAGTTGGTTTCGGCAGCGGTAGCGAAGGTGTTGGTGATCGTTCTATCGGTCGACCGGTCGACGGATCTGACGATGGCGTCGTCGTGGATGCAGTGGCTCACCAACCCCCGCCGCAACTGGTTCGCGGCCCAGCACTACAAGGCTCTCTCCAATCGCCTCAAGAAATACGGTAATCTCACCCTACCTCGCCGTCGTGTTTCCTCGATTCGAGCTTCTGGTATCGGGCTCTGGGTATCTCGCGTTTTCTTTCGGTGCAGGGCTGCGCTATGACGATCTGTACGATCCGATGTACGACCTGGACATCAAGGAGGCCCTGGCGCGGCTCCCGCGCGAGGTGGTGGACGCCAGGAACCAGCGCCTCAAGCGCGCCATCGATCTATCCATGAAGCACGAGTACCTTCCCGAGGACTTGCAGGTCTGGCCGGAACTTATTGCGTTCTCTCTGTTAAGAATCAGACGGATGTGGTGCCATGTGAGATGTGATGCATTCCGATCTAGGAGTTAAGATTTTGTTTTATCTTAGATCGACAGACAATGCTTTACTAAATCAGAGTGTCTTTGGTATCAGTTTAAGTTCAAATTCCATTGGGAGAGTGAATGTTGTCTTCACCTCTTTGGCGTTCACTCCTAGCATTCTACCTTTGGATTCTGCTTCTAACATTATTCTTTTAAATTACAACTTGCATGAATAATTTACAATGCGATCCATGCTGAATATGAATTCAAAGATCATGAATTGATGCATCTCATCTAAGTATTAAGTTTTTGGTTTTTCTTATTTTACAATCGATTTTGCTTTTTTTAGGGATCTTGAAGTTATTAATTACTTTTTAGATGTTGATTTTGTGTAGGATAAGTTTTATCGTATAATTGTCCCAAATAGATGAATCTTGAAGAACATATGATAGTCCCCATGGTTAAATGATATCTAGTCTTCGTAACAGTTGAATGGTTAATCTATCATATATGTATATGGAATGAAGGAAACGTCTTATTGTCTTTTGATGGATTTCTTAGAGTGATGAATTCCTAAGCCCTGTTTTTCTAGTTGGACTCCTTTTGAGTGGTGGTATGTATCCCTTGAATTATTTTTCTTGGGCGTTGAGTTTGTTTATCTTCCCTTCAATCTATTCCACTTATTTAGTCTCCATCCCGTCATCAAATTGTTATTAGAGCTTCGCTTGTCATCAACAACTTTTGTGGTTTTTTTGTGTGTATAGCAATGTACCAGAATTTCTTTTCTCAATACTTACTTTCATTATCATTTGTAACAATATTATATTTTTCACAGGCATTGCAGACACCTTTCAGAAGCTATCTTAAAGATATGCTGGCTCTTGTAAGTATTACTTATAAGCAAAATTTACCTGGTCTTAAGCTTAGAGCTTTCCGTTAAGCTTGTGGCCATGTGCTAGAGGTTATATCTTTGGAGTTGGTGTGTTCATTCTCATAATCAGTAATTCTAGATATGGTTATCAGAAGTGTTTTATATCTGCCAATTAATTGCAATTTCATTTATGTGAATTTTTGTTTTGCACAATCTTGTATTTGCTTGACATTATGCCAAGGTGAAGAGATGTGTATAATATATATCCTATTTAAAGTAAGATATTGTTGTCCTTAACTTTCTAAATTTGTTATTTTAATTGTTTTTTAAGTTGTCAATGATAATACAGACAATAACTTGGCAAAATTGTTTCTTATCTCATTAATTTTACTGGTCTGGATGATGCTACAAGTATTTTTGTATTTATAGTGGTGTAATTTGCGTATGCTGTAATATTACTTTATTTGACCTGTACATGTTTTTGACCTTGTCCCATAAGCTCCAAAACGTTTTTTTCTTTTGAATAAACGAGGAACCAGAGTCTAGCCCTATATCATATTAAGTGGTTGTTCAAATTATTTAACAAGGCCCGTATCTCCTCCCTTGCACTACTTAACAATGGTTTAATATGTTTTTCTGTCTCCTTGTTCAGCTTGGTGCAACCCGACTGATGGTCTAAGGCTTTCTAATGCAGTCCTTGTTCCCTTGCATTGCCATCGTGTATGCATCCCTCTGTTCTTGGATCTCATTTTTAAGTTTCACCATTGTTTCCAATTTTGGTCATAAATTAGATATCATAATCAGTCGTTTTCTTTTTCTCTGATTATATATATATATAATATTTTCATGTGATTGTTATTTTATTTTTTTCTGATTCTTTGAGATATCTTTGACAGTTGACTGATTATGATATCAATTTAGTTCCCAGAAAGACATGCATATTTGGAGAACTAAATATGTATATTCGGTCTTTTTCTTTTTCTTTTAATGCTTGGGATGGGAAATCTTTTCATTGATGCTAACTTTTATCTACTAGTCTTATGTTAGTTTATCATTATCCTTGGCCATCTTTCATCTCTAGGGCATTGGTTAAGAAATTTTGGGTTTGGTAAGTTCATCTATGAATTCACATCATTCTCAATTCCAAATTAGTATCTTGTAAAGCTTTATATTGTTGCAATAAGGACTTTACTAGCCTCTCTATTCTGCAGAACCACATGATGTTCAAAGCAAGTGCTTAAAACTGTAGTTAGTAGCAACAGGTTTCTCCATATTTCTAAGGAGCCAACAGATGATATTTGACTAAATGCCTAATGTTGCCTTTCTAGTGATAAAAAATCCTCCAATGTCTAACCATTCCTACACATTCCAGATTGCTAGCATAATTGCCAATAAGACCAATGAAACATGGGAACGGCAAAAGGCATGCCGTGCCCAAATCTAATCCATGATATTGAACCTTGGTAATCCATGCTATTGACTCGATTGACATATCCTCTCTTTTTTCTGGTCACTAGAAGCTCTTCACACTGTTGGCATATATTACAGAAAAAGATAATCAAGTGCACTGCAGGACATGGCTTAGTCCAGGATAATAGAAAAAAACTTTTTTTCTTCAGGAGCTCAGAGATGGTCCTGATTTTACATGTAACGTCGTGCACTCAGATACTGGGATAATTAAATGAAACGAGGGATGTAGCATGGTTGTGTGGAGGGATTTGATAGAGTTTAGGCTTCAATAAAATGAGGAAATAGACAAATATTTGCTGGAATTCTATACTTATATCCAAATTTATTTCAAAAAATATTGGTGAGGACTAATTTTAATGGAAATTGATGTTGAGTACAATGATAGCAACAAAAATAAAAATCAAATAGAAAGGTTAGAAGGTAAAAGAGGAGTAAGATTCCTGGAGACAAACTAGAGCTATTTTTGATCAAGACTGTACTGATTCTGAAGCATAATATCTTCAATCACCAAATCACTTAACAGCCAATTACTATCTTGAACAAGTTAATATAAGCAATCTGATGTTTTTAGAAGGCCATTCAAGCAGTCCCATCGTGAGGAAATTCGGATTGGTAACCTTGGAACTCTTTCTACTTGACGTAATTTCTCACTATATAGTTCTTTACAACTATACCTTAGAACTTTGTGATATTATTTACTAGATGGACTCTGATATCAAACACTAAACCATTTTCATGGTTTGGACATGCATGTCTGTCTTTAGATTTGGGAATTAAATGGAAGATGGTTATTTTGTACTTGTTACTGCTGTCTATGCTATATGCAGATCTGCTGCTTTCTGTTTCTATCTTTTTTGTAAACATCTGAATAATTACCAGTAAGTTAATTAGCCAATCTCACTAGGATAATGAAGTATATTCACTGATAATTCTTATAGCAGTTCATCTTTCAGACTAACAGCTAAGATTTGTTTTACTTCTTGGGGAATGGCAATTAATTAACCTCTAACTGGTTCAAATTTCATTTTTAGCATGTCAGATCCGACAAATTTCTGGTTCTTTTCTCTGCAGGTGAAGAAAGAGAATGCAGAGCGTGAGGCACTGGGAGCTTTGCCTGTTTATCAGCGCACAATTCCATGATATATCAAGCAAGATCGTATTTCGTCAATGAATCGTGACGAAATACAAGAGCAGTGCTCAAAGTTATTAGTGTTATCTGTGACCTACCTTTCCTTCTACATAGTCTTGTTGCGTTGGCTTGGGTCAATCACAACTAGATTTTTGTTTCACTTGTTGCTGGTGCCTTTCAATCACATGTTTGTTATGAGTTCGTCGAATAAATTAGATGGTGTGATGTCATTAACTTAAATTAATTGATGGTCTGATTACTGTTAATTCTTTGGACTTGTTTATATTGCATTTACGCTTAACAGTTTTCAGAGAGGTGTTAAATTTGAACAATTATGGAGTCTTCAAAAGGTTTTCTTATCTCTTCCAGTCATATCTCATGGCAGTCAACCTAATTGATCTCTGCAAGCTGCATCAACATGGACATGAGGTCAAATTCTTAGATTCTGATGGTTTGGTTGACAGCTGCTGCTCATTAAAACTTGAATTTGTTATGAATTGTGGTAGTTCTATCAAACTGAATTCTGCCATCATTTCACTTAGGACAGAAGCCTTGTGTATAGGATCATATCTTTAACTTGGGGAGCTTTGAGGAGAAAATATATAATATTGTTATATATATATACTATGTATAATAATATTATATGTATCATGAATCATGCCAAGGTTGGTGAAGGTTTGAGTCTTAAAAATATTAAAAATTTTAAAGGTATTTTAACTCTTGCTGATGGT